CACTGAGTTGCCGCCATGTGATTGGCTGATTAGAAATTAAGTGTTAACGAGCAGTTGGGCAGGTGTACCTAATAAAGTGGCCGGTGAGTGTAAATTCATTATCTCTTTGCTGCTGTGTGCATGTCTGTGTGTGTGCTACCCACAGGGAGCTGGAGACCATGTTTAATGTGAAGGAGGTGCCCATGGTGGTGGTCCTGCGCCCTGACAGCTCCGTCCTCATCCACAATGCCGTGGAGGAGATAAGCCGCCTGGGGCCGGACTGCTACCGCAACTGGCAGGAGGCGGCAGGGCTGATCGACAGGAACTTCCTCATGAAGGAGGACTTTGAGGAGAAGTCCATGCGCAGCTTCACTGACCCCATTAGGAGATTAAAGTACAAGGTGGAGGATGAGAAGAAGAAGAAAAGAAAGAAGAAGGGCAGAAGCTGGGGTGGAGGTGGGGATGCAGGAGTAGTTGACAAGGATGGAGGAGAGTCACCTTGGTGATGGAGACTGAGAACAAGAGAGGAAAGTTTTGGATTTAAACTCATAGCTGATAAAATATTTTGTCACCGATCTCCTACTCTGCAAACTAGGACAGTTTTTCCTCTTTTCTTCAGTATAATTTCAGAAAATTCATACATCTTTGATGCTGCACTTTTATATACTGACTTGAATTTTACATTTTTAGCGTTTAACCTTCCAAAGAACTAGACCCTCTTGATCAGTGGTGTCAAGTGGTGTGAAACAAATACATAAAAACTAGTTTTATTTACTGTTGAGTTTTGGTGAAATACTGTCATCCTAAACTCTCCCACTTTCCCACAGGGAAACTGAAGGATGTGTTCCAGTTAAAATTATGTCATTTCCATATTCCAGTACAAATGCTAAATTCACTGTACTTATATAGCACCTTTCTGTCCAACTAAGATACTCAAGGTGCTTTACACCAGAGATTCTTAACCTATGGGCCACGGCCCAATTGAGGGCCTCAAAAGAACAACAGTTTTTAACTTTGGGCCACAGAGGGCCGGGGGACCACATTGATTTTGAATAAGGTGCAATACACTTTCTCACCACTAGTAGCGGTAGTGTGCCACTCAGATGTTTAACAACATTTTTAATACATAGAAGAAGAACCTTAGAAACCTGCAGAGAATGGGAACCTGTGTACTTGTATAAATGTGTCCAAAACGACAGGCCGGGTCCTCCGGAGGACCCAGACTACCCGGTCGCGGTGGGCCGGGTCCTTGGTAGACCGGGAAGACTGGAAAAAAAAGAGGCTGTGAATTTGGACGGTCTAAGCCCCCCTCTTTACCCCGGCGTATGTC